TCGGACGCTTAACTGACTGCGCCACCCAGGCGCCCCAACATTTGGGACATTCTTACCCTTAAAAATGTTTTCACAGTTTACCTGAAATTCACATGTAACTTAGCATCCCGCGTGTCGCTTGGGAGCCCTGCTTGTAAGTCACTACGCTCGGGGATCATTGGTTTTGGCTGCAGGGCCCAATCTTACCTGACTGATACGTGGCCCAAGCAAGGGTGCCTGTGTCAGTCTGCATATTCACTATTAGCAAGGCTTAAGTTTGCCCATACTTTCAGATTAAAGGTGTATCAGTTCTTCCTGTGCCCCAGCAGGGTGTCTGTGGTCCTAGGCCACGGGGGTCAAGAGACTGTAATCGTGCTGAAAATGCAGATTCTTGGCACTAGCCTAGAATATGGATTTTGAATCTGGAGATGGCCGGAGACGTTTCACAATTTCCTCTGGAGATTCTGAGACAAATTAAAGGTCCAGGGGCCCGAGACTGCAATTCAACTTTCTCTAAGTTTGCGTGGGTCGGAGACTCATCCTGCCTTTGCTGTTAAACTGGCTTGGTCTGATGTGCAACAAGTCAATTCCATTCTCCTGTCCAGACTGGGGTGGCCTCAGATAATCTCAAATCTCTCTTCCAGCTCTGAGAGTCCAGGACCAGGAGTCAGTAACCCAGGGCCTTCCAAGGTCCAGCAAGCAAAGTAAACGAGCGACGGCGGGTAGGTGGAAGACAACGGGTCATGGAGGGACTGTGGCAAATTGAAGTGGTCTCTGTATGTTCTCCTCTCTGCAGGTGGAACTCTGAGGGCCCTAGGCACATCGGCCATACAGAGAACTGTAAACGTTTCTGGCAAGATTTCTAATTTTGCTTCGGAAAATACTGTGTGCCGTGAGTCACTAAGCAAATTTATGATTGGCATTTCTCTGAAGTCATCATGTGTGCCGGGAGGATATTTTAAGTGCAGCCTAACCTACAAATTGGAATTTGTCTTAGAATGGAACGGACTGCGTGTGAATATGAACTTTAACAATTAATGGCTGACGCAGCAATAGTCTGGAGATACTTCATTAAACATTTGTAGCTTTGGTTTTGCAGATTAAAAACATAAAACTGTAGCCAACAACATTATTTCAATGTCTCAAACACTCTGATAAGCATTTTAAAAGCCTGTCATACTAGTGATTGTACCTCTGTGGCCTAAAAGCTAAAACAGTTTAGTGTGCTGGTGCTATGCCTGGTGTTGGTAAAAACAGATGATCAGATGGGACACTAGCCCCCGAGGAGCTCACAGGAGGCAGGAGGTGTCAGGAGAGACTTATTAGGGATGATACCTGAGATGAGTCTTGAGGAATAAGCCAAGTGAGGAAGGGAAAGGTATTCTAAGCAGAGGAAAAGCACCAGTAAACACAGGTTTCTGGAACAGCTTGTTGAACAACCGTAAGCGGTTCATTCATTCAACAAACACTTCCTAAGTGGTGAAAGCATCAGGTACTGGGGAGCCAAGTAAACACCTGAGAGTGCTGATTGGTTAGAAGAACTGATACCGACAAGGCAGAGCAATCCATAGATGACGAAGTACACCCCGAGCTGGGCTGGGAGCTGGGGGATAGGGAAGGAGGAGGAAGGCCGACACTGATACAATACAAAACCAAATATAAATAAGCTTCTTAAAGCGTGAAATTCTGGAAGTAATGATCCATGTCACCCACAACATTAAATTTCAATCACTTACATCAGAAACAATAACACAAACGCACACACAGATCACTTAAAAACGTCTGAACAGAGGAAAGAAAGCAATTAACAAGCACTCAGAGCTGGAAGAATGGATCCACCTTCTGTAACTCACATGAGCCCAATTTCTCCTGCCCTGAGGAGTCCCCCTCCCTGACTGCCCACTTCTCCAGGGTTCTAACCCTGGGAGTGGCCTCAGGAAATCCAGTCCCTTCTCCAGTTTCACTCCACAAAAGGTGCTGAAAGTCACTGGTCCCCTCACAGCCTGAAGACCCCTTCTGCTCCCGGGACCCTTTTGGCAGCTGACCTCTCTATGCGGAATTTCTGGGTCTCTGTATCATTGCTCTCTACCTTTTCATAGGCCATTTCCAGCACATTTTTCTACTAAGCAACATCACCAAGGGTTCAGGAACTTACTTCTCAAGAAGACTACAATATATTTGAGTCCTGAAAAAAGAATTACTGCTGCCTCAGAAAAATCCCTTCTTACGAAGAATTATACAGACTTAAAGATTATACAGAATTTAAAGATTACTGGAAGCTGAACTCTAAATGTGTTTAAAAGCTTAATAAAAATGGTATTTTATAAAAATAATGCATACTCAGAAAGAAAATTGGAAAATAAAACTTTAAAGAATAAATTTTATTTATTTTTTTTTAAATTTTTTTTTCAACGTTTATTTATTTTTGCGACAGAGAGAGACAGAGCATGAACGGGGGAGGGGCAGAGAGAGAGGGAGACACAGAATCGGAAACAGGCTCCAGGCTCTGAGCCATCAGCCCAGAGCCTGACGCGGGGCTCGAACTCACGGACCGCGAGATCATGACCTGGCTGAAGTCGGACGCTTAACCGACTGCGCCACCCAGGCGCCCCAAAGAATAAATTTTAAATCTCTTCATCTGATCTCTCAGATGTGTTTATGGACACACAGAAAAAGACATGTTTTAAAAATTAGGATCATAATGCATATTTGCTTTTTAAAATGTTATCATTTACCATATCATGCACAATTTACATGTTCTTGAACATTCCTGAAAAAGAATAGTTAAGCATAAGTTAGTGGTATTATATACCAAAAGAGTCACCAATCTTCCTAATGCTAGATAAGTTAAATTGCATCCAATTAAAAAAAATTTTTTTAATTTTTTAATGCTTTTATTTTTGAGAGAGCGAGATAGCATGAGTGGGAGAGGGGCAGAGAGACAGGGAGACACAGAATCTGAGGCAGGTTCCAGGCTCTGAGCTGTTAGCACAGAGCCTGATGCAGGGCTCCAACTCATGAACTGCGAGATCATGACCTGAGCCGAAATCGGACGCTTAACTGAGCCACCCAGGCGCCCCAATTGTGTCCAATTTTTTACTGTAACAAATAACAACATATTACCCTACAAAATAGGACTACAAATACAAAAAACGATAGCCAAATCAATACATGTTGAAGTGCCTACAAAATGCATTATAATATCTAATTCATTGTTAAATATAATTTGTAAGAATGTTTTCTTACGTTTGAAAACAGCTTGTAAGTGGAGCTTCCTCAGTCAAGGACGTGTGAATATGCACATAACGGGTTATCAGAGCCTAATGTGAGCTACAAGTTAAGAGAGCCAAATAACCAGCAGGTGAAATTAATTTTTCAAAAAGCTCCCAATATTTTACAGCAATTGCGAAGGATGTGGCCATATTTAACTACGCTTGATAGGACATTAGATGCGGAGTTTGAGCGTAAAAGAGCCTAGCATCTCCCAACCTTTCACACGGCCCTAGCTATTTCTCTACCTCCTTGCTACTCAAACCACTGGCATCGTCTCCTGTTAGTCCGTTAGAAATGCAGAATCTCGGGCCCATCCCAGACCTATTGAATCAGAACCTGCGTGTCTACAAGAACCGCAAGTTGTTTCCCTATGCACGTTAACGCTGGAGAAACCCTTGGATCACCCCAGAACGCCCTTTGCTAGCTCCCTGGGGCCTGACAAATAGCATGCATTCCGCAGAGTTACTAAGCAAAGGAGGGACCTTGCAAAACACTGGTGAGGTGCCATCGCCTTTGAAATGCATCCCTTTAGCAAAGGCGGAGGGTCGTCCTCTCCACGGAGCCCCGCCGCTGCTACACTTGGGGCTGCACCCACACCCGCATTGTGATGCTGGGGCAGGACGCCGAGCCCCTCACCTGGGCACCGGGTCTCTGCCTCACTGGGCCTGTCTGCCCCTCGCCTGGGCACCTGCTCTCTCCTTCCCTGGGGCTGTCAGCCAGTTAGTAAGCTGAGGGGTCACTGACGGCTGGAAAGGCGGGAGTGCTAACACTTAGCCACTTTATTTCACGGGAGCCGGGGTTAAACGGCCACCCTCACCTCCCCGCCCACGCAAGGACGACCTCGGCGAAACTGACATCCCAAAGCCCAAGTCCCGAGAACTGTTGGCCAACAAAGATGAAAAGCGTGCAAGGGGTGGAGCCTGAGAATCAGATACCGCGAGAAGTGGTCTCCTGAAGAGGCTCCGACAAGCGCAGGCGCACTACAGCTCCCGCCCCTGCCGCAAAGGTGGCTGCCACTGGAGAAGGCGGAGCCGGGCCTCTAGCATAAAGCTCGCGAGATTTGGACGCGTCACTGCCCCTCCTTCCGGTCAGGAACCGGAAGTGCAGTGAGCGGGGCGTCTCTGGCGCTGGCTCCGCTGTGGCACCGCGCCGCTGGGCCCGGTTGCTGCCGCGGCTCCTCGGGTCCCGTTTTGCCTCGCCTACTCTGGGCCGAGGTGATGGGGGACTCCAAGGAGGCTGGGGCCGAGTCGCCGCCGGCCGGGGCCGCTGCTCGGGGAGGGCTCAGCCTCCTGTCCCAGGGAGAACCCGAGGAATCTTCAGCACAGGTGAGTCCGCCCTGGGGCGGGACCTGCCGGGCTCCGGGGGCTTCGGGCCCGCTTCGCCGGGGAGGGATGTTACGGTTCCCGGCGGCTTCGGGTGCCTTCTCCGCGCCTCCCGGGCAGTCCCCCAAATGGAGTGGAAGCCCGCGTGTCTGTCGTCAGGTATTCGGGTTTTTGCGGGCAAGTTACTCCTATCGCAAGCAGTTCTGGCTTTCCACTCGGCTGTAACCGAGAAGTGAGTTAGAGACGATCTCCGCTCTCAAGGAGCGAACCCGTAAATACGTGGTTCCAGAATGTGACACAGTCATGCAAAGCTGAAGGGCAAAGAGAGGGTGTCGGGGGCTGGGGGGAGCTCGCCGACATGGGAAGGAGATAATCCTGGAAGGGTTGCAGAGTGTCCGCCGGGCCGAAAAGGGAGCGCGTGAAAGGTTAGTGAAATCGGACACTGAGCTTGCTTGGGGGTGTGCGAGTGAAGAGTGTGAGGAACCCCCAGCGCCTTCCTATGAAGTTAAAGGTTGAGAGAGTGTGTGTAATGAACTGACGACTCAGTTACCAAACGTTTGCTTGAAAACAAACAAAAAAAAGCCCCAGGGATTCCTGGCTGGTTCAGTCCGTAGAGCATTTGACTCTTGATCTCTGGATCCTGAGTTCAAGCCCCACGTTGGGCGTAGAGGTTTCTTAAAAAAAATGAAAACAAAAAAGCCCCAGATACCGTGTAACATGCTACTTTCTAAATGATATTCAAGTGAAAGTAATACATCTTGAATAATGAGCAGAGATTTTATCCAATCTCACATTTCATTACTGTAACGCTATTGACTCTTCCTTGGTTCCTGCTTGACCACTGTCTTAGCTGAAAACCGTAAACATTATACTCCTTGACTCTTGTTTTTCTTTGAAATTATGTGAAAAACAGCTAAGTAAATGCTTGCATTTCTTGCCATTAGAAACATGTAGCACATAGTCTTGTGAAGCCTGACGTGGTGGGATTTCTTTTTCTTTTTTTTAAAGGTGGCATTTTAAATTCCTAGTAGTGTCATTAAAGTTTCGTCCAATGTGTTAATTAGGGATCAGCTTTATTTCTTGGAGGCAATGAAGTGAAGAGCCGAGCTGTGGTGAAATACTCTTCTGCCCCTCCTCGAACAGCATTTGCACGCCTTGAAGAGAAAACAGACTTGAAACTCCCACCTGCCAACTGGTTGCGAGAGAGTGCCAAACTAGGGCCGGCAGGAACTACCATTCTTGGCAATAGTAAGAAAAGCAAGCCATTTTCAAGGTAAATATTAATCAGTGGCGTTTTTACCTGTCTCCCAGCAGCAACCCCCCGCCACCCCGAACTCTAATATTTGCTTTTTCAGTTTAACTTATAATGCTCATCATCTTGGTGAGATTTCCCTTTAGGAAGAGGTTGTATTTGACTTTCAAAGTCCTCTTCCCCCTCCTAGAGGGCTTATGTTCCAGTCTGAAGATATCAGTTGCGAATACTTCTTTCGGGTCTGCATCATGTTCTCAACAGATCTCAGTTTTAGCCACTAAAATTCAATCAGCTGTTTTATTTTTAGCCAATCTGCCTACCTTTTGACTATGTGGATACCAAGCATCAGGGGTGGCACCTGAGGAGGAAAACCCTTAACACTACCTAATCTGTCCTGGGGAGTTTTCATTAAATGGTGCTGGATTATTTGGTCTGAAAAAGCCTGATGTAGAAACCCAGCATGTTGGGTGACCTACACTCTGACACTTGCTGAGTCAGTTGCTGGAAATTCTGCTGATGGTATTTAAGGGAGAGAGTGGCCTGGATTCTTACAGAGAAATCTCTACTAACATGTAGACTATTTAATGTGTAGGATTCTCTTATTTTTCCTCTCTGTGATTGAACCTAAAATATGTCCATATAACATACAGCAAGAGCCATAAATGCATTAATACCTAATGAGTTCTGGGGCGCCTGGGTGGCTCGGTCAGTTAAGAATCTGACTTCTTGATTTTGGCTCAGGTTATGATTCCCTGGTTAATAAGATTGAGCTCTGGCTCCACACCCAGCCCAGAGGAGTGTAAGATCCTGTCTCCCTCCCCCACCCCCTTTTGTCCTTCCCCCTGCTGGATTTCTTTCTCTCTCTCAAAAAAAAAAAAAAAGAAAATCTAATGAGTTAGTAGTTTAGAAATCATCCTAATGCCTCAGAAGGTAAAAGTTGTGTTCGCAAAATGTTGCAGCATTATTTATACTGGCAAAAATTTGGGAGTAGTCCAAATACCTTCCTCTAGGAGAACGACTTAATTATATGTCAACACAATTAAATATTATGAAGTAATTTAAATTTTAGTTACATCGATTGTGTGCAAACAGTGCGTTGAGTACTTTATATGTTTATCTCTTTTAATTCTCAAAACAGCCCTTTGAGTTAGGTTCTGTTAACTGATTTTTAAATGGAAAAACTGAAGCTTAGAAAGGTTAAGTACTTGCCCAGCCTGCATGGTAAATCATCAGCATGTGAAATGAGGTGGTCCTAGGTAAGTATTCTGAACCTCTGCCGCTTACTGACTGAAATGTGGCGACCTCAGCTGCCGTTCAGACTTAGAGATTATAGATGTGCCTCACGTGGTACCTGACACAACATTTTTTTTCTTTTCTCCTTCTGGCTGAATTAGTGTCAGGTTCTGGGTTTTTTTTTTTTTGTTGTTGTTGTTTTGAAAAAGTAGTATTGATTGTATATCCTCTAGCAACACAATCCTAGAGACTAAAATCCTGATAAATGTTTGTTTATATTTTTCTTATCTCCCCACCTAAAAAAGAATAGTATCTTGAGGTGTTTTTGTTTGGAGGTTTTTTGGGGATTTGTAATTACAAAAGAAAAAAAATTGTTGATTTTTTTTCTAGATGTTTCCTATTGCTTCTAACAATTATTACTATATTCTATCAAACGTAAGACGTGATTAAGTCGCATCATTGTTCTGCGTACCACTAAGAAGGAAAGGCTACTCCACTCTAATGGCTGTAGGCAGACTGATTTCAGAGATGGTAAAATGTGGAAAATGTGTGTCCTGGGAGTGATGAAATACTGTATTATAAACTCCTGCTTATGTCGTCATGGGCATGACGGTTGTGGCCTTTGTTCCCCCCATTAGCTTTGGAATGGCGTACGACTTTATTGATTCTGTGGGAAATGATGTGGATGTCGTTTCTGACTCTGAAGTAAGTGTCTTTATTGGGGACTGTAGTTGGGGTGTTTATGCCCGGGATTTGTAGCATGCTGTGTTCTGTAGCCTTGAAAAATTACTGGTGAGATAAGGCACAGTCATCTGATTATCGAATATCTCGTTTGCTAATAAAGTCCTGCTCGGCCACCTCTCCTTTCAAAAAGGAAGGACCAGTGCCCAAAACACGGGCAGTGGCAAAACAGTGATATTGGCGGTTGTACTTTTATAGTGGCAGGTATAGCTGATTATAACGTTCGGGATGATTTATGTAATGTTACCAATTGAGAATTAAAAACGGTACTTAGAACAGAATCTCCCACTCCTTAGTTGGGCGGTTTTATTTGATATGCCGAAAGCCTAGGTCCTTGTGAAAGTCTGACCTACACCCTTAACTTTAGGAAATTCTTTTGTGTAAAAATAAATCTTGGACTGTCGTTTACATTAACGTAGCATGATTGGTAAAGTGTAGGTGATTGTGTTTGTAAAGCTCTGTCTTCTGTATGTTTGTATTTAGCTCTTCGTGTCCAGTACAGTTTGTATAATGTTAGGGGAATGAAGTTTATTATGCTTTCAAACCATGAAGATTTGAAACCGCTCAAGTCACAGTAATAAGGTCTTTTTCTTAAACTGTGTCTTCTCTTAATTTTTCAAAGAACATAAAAAAGCTCCTGAAGATTCCCTACAGCAAATCCCACGTGAGCATGGCTGTACATCGCATCGGAAGGACTCTCTTGTTAGACGAGTTAGATATTCAAGAGCTCTTTATGAGATCGTCTCAGGTAATACTTTTTTGTGGAAAAACAGCCATTAAAGCATTATTTTAATCCAAAGAAAGGCTTGGGTGGGCACGCAGTCCAGCACTTCGGCAGCTAAGAAGTAAGATGTTGCGCAGAATGTAAAGAAGCTTTACTAAAGAAAAAAATAGAAAAGAGAGTGAACGAAGAAGAAACTTCCTGGTAACCAACAGCCAGGAATCTTGCAAGGAAAAGGGAGGAAGCCAGTGAAGAAAGTTGTGAAAAAAATGGAAATTTAAGGGAATAGTTAAAATTTTTGAAAGATCCTTTGATGTCTCCATTGAAGAGACTCTCATGAAACATGACTGCCAGGAAATGTGAAAAAGGTTAGAAGTTCTTCCAATGAAGACATAGTTATTGGAATTAATTGGTTTGCTGAAAGCAGAGCTTCTCAAACTGTACCTTGATAAATGCCTATTCCCAAACCCCCCATGTGTTGATGGTGGATACTTTTTATATAAAGCGTAATAGCAATGTTTCAGTTTCTCAAGGCTTGCGGTCTGTTTCTGTACTCGGACTGTTGGCCGTTCAGTCTGCACGTGTATGCTTGCCGCTGGTCAAGCTCTCGGGACGTGACAGTAAATCACAGTGGTCGTTTGCCGGCAGCTTAGAGTTTTGGTGTTGCAGACACATACACAGATAATTTCAGTGTGGTATACGCACCGGGGCTTATTCCAGGTACCGAGGAACGTGTTACAAAGAAGAATCACTTGTCTTAGCCTGGCTCACAGAGAAGAGAAAGACAGATTTCCCAAAAGAGGCGATAGACGTTGAGTCTAGAAAGATAGTGTTTGAGTATGTGTTTAGGAAGTAGCATTCCAAAAATAGAGTATTTCCTATAAAAGAGTAGCGGGTGACAAATTGTCTTGACTACGAGTTTGCTGTATTTATCGTTTTCTCTTGTCACTCAGACTGGTGACTGGACGTGGCTGAAGGAGTTTTATCAGAGACTTATCGATCAGAAGTGGCAGAGGAAGAAAAAGAGCAAAGAGCACTGGTATCAGAAGGCTATTCTTTCCAAGTTTTTATATTACAGGTACTTGGCGACTTGTTTGCATTTCCCTTAAGGAAGGGGAAACTGATCCGAAATTTAATTTTAAGCTCGTAAAAGTAATAATTGAAGTTTTGCAACTGGGGTATTGTTGACCTTGCAATGTCTCGTCTTCCTTTTTGTAACGGGATTTACACTTGATCGTGGGCTTTGGGTTTTAAAAGCTGGTAGACCGTTCCGTGAGGTTAACTTTAGTAACCGTGCGATACTTTTCTTTCTGACTGGCCAGTATCAATGGCGATGGAGCTGCTCAGCCCGTCCCCTCTGCTGCGGAACAGCAGGGACCGTCCAGTTCAGATCAGGCCACTGACTCCGATGGGGCTTCCTGGCCCGCCCCCTTTGAAATGCCTTCTTCAGTCTCTGAGGATCCCAGTGCTTCCAGTCAGGTTAGTTAGTCCTTAGATGTTAATTCGGTAAACTCCTTTAAGAAGACAAAACCGGTGATCTTGTTAATAAAAATAGATGAATGGGAGTAAAAAAAAAAATGCTCTAGTTTATGGCCTAAAATTAGGAAAAATACTTTTTTAGACTCTCAAGACAGAATCTACAAAAAATACTATGAATGGCTAGATCAAATTTTTTAATTCACAAGATTTAAAAATTTTTACCAGCATTTAAAGTAGCTTGCCAGTATGTTTATCAGTACCGATTATCTCCTGGAAGTCCTAAGAGTAGTATGTAATCTGGTATATCTTACACTTTAGATTTATAATAAATGCCTGTCAAATATTGAGACTCACAGGCCTGTTTGTAAGTGAATACTGACCTTCTTATCTTAACTTGTAGATTGTTAAGCGTCAGACTGCCCTTAGGATTTCCTGGATGAAGTTCCTGAGACGTAACCTGCATTAACGTTGTAAAGCTTTTAGAAGGAAGAGAGAGTAGGGTGTCTGTTTTGTGTCTTATTTTTCTGGGATTCTTCTTATTTCTTGTTTAGTCTTTTTTACTGTGTCTATCAAAGAATAAGGTAACTGCAGAGATGTAAACTGTGCATGTCTGTTTTTAGGAAAATGTACTCACAAGGTTGAAGAAGATAAAGTAGGATTTTTAACGTGGTAAATTGTGTTTTTTCTCTTGTTCTATACTCCCAGGTATTGAACGTTATTTGTCCAGATTGGTGCTATCCTCCCAAACTATAGGGTACAGGAGGCAAATAGATTTAACTTGATGTGAGTTTTAGTAGGTTTTAAGATGGAGAAAGCTAATTAAGTTATGTAATGTATTTTAAGTTTTTTCCAAAGGCAGGCAAGCTATAATGAAAAGGAAGGAAATCATTACCGTGCAAGTTCACATGGTGCTGACCTCCAGGAGGTGAGGGTGTTGTGTACATGAGAAGGGGCTGGGTGCTTCGTGCCAGCAGGGTCCCATGTTCTGATCTGCATAATGATTACATGGATATTTTGTCTGATAGTTAGTCCTTCTACCATTGGATTTCGTTTATGCACTTTCTTGTATGTGACTGTATTACACTGACAGTTTTTAAAAACTCATCGAATGTTCCTTGACTTCAAACCCCACATATTACAAAAGGACCACATAACGGAAATACCTAATCTGCCACCCATCTGCTCGTCTCCCAGCCTCCTCATTCTGTCCTTCCCTTGTTTAAGGCTCACTGTGAAAAGTCAGGGAAGCTTTTGAGAGTCTATAGACTTGTATGTGGAGGAAGCGACCTGGCATCTGCTTAATGCCTTTTACGCCGCGTACTCTGTGCCGTGTGTATCCGTATGTGTGTACGTGCACATTTTTTTCATCCTTGGAGCTTTGTGTGTATTAAGCGTTGGTGGTATCGTCTTATAAATAAGTAAACCAAAGTTTGTACAAGAGGGTGTTTGCCCGCGGTCACAGCTGGTGAAATCTGAGTGAGGATCTAAACCCTGAACTTTCTGACTTCAACCTTGCAGCAGCACCCCACACAGCATCCGTGTGCTCCACGCGTGTTTAGAAGGGCCCTGGGAGCAGTAGGATTATCTGATTATCCTGGCCATGGCATGGTCCCGAGCACTGCTAGCCTGCCATAAAGATATTCTTTGACAGAATATTTGATACAATATTACACTGCCTAAATTTCAAATTTAGAGATTTTTGTTTGTGAATTCTCGTTCCCAAAACAAACCTTGCTAGTTTGAGGCCTGTGTTAAGCAAGGATGGAGTTAAATAGGTGTCTGGGTGGCCTTGGAGCCAAACTTTGAGAACGTTATAACCTAGAGCCCGGACTCCCACTGAAGCTACTACCTGACGAGTACAATTTGGGGATTTGGTCCAGAGGTTGATAACTTGTCTGGATAAACAAAAAAGTTTTGAAGTTCTTTTGGGACTCTTGAAAGAGATTACAAGACACAGCAAAAGCAGTGGAAGTTCTCCCCCACTCCCACCCCACCCCAACCTCACTGCGCTTGTAGTCGAGTATACGCACTTCACGGGCAGGTGCTGAGCCGATGAGCACACACGTAGGTCAAGAGGTAAATTCATAGAACAAGCAGTGCACGTGGCACGTAAGCTTTCCGATCTTGGGATCTGTTGCGGCGTGTGGTGTGTCTTGGATTGTCTGATAGTTTGAAATTTGAGTGGTGGACTGAGTTGCCAAAGATTCCTCTGCCTTAATTTTTTTTTTTTTAAAGATTATATTCCACAGATTGTATTAAGAATAAAACGTATTGAGAGATTAAAGAAGTTTGAGAACATTGGGTTTTATAGAGGGGAAGTTGATTTTTCTACTGAAGTCCTAGAGGGCTTTTTTTTTTACATAATAGAGCATTGTATACCAAAATCAAAGCCTGTGAGTGAAGGTGCAGGCTAAAGCATCTGGAAGTTCTTCACCGAGTATCCTAGGGACTGCCGTATTCCTGTGAAACTACATTAGTAAATAAAACTAGAGGCTGTTCTGATGACGATGTCTCCAGGATAATACGGCTGAGAGTAAGCCTGGCTGCCAGTGGAGACATCAACTCTCATCACGGGGTTGTAAGTTCAATCCCCATGTTGGGTGGAAAGATTACTTAAAAAAAAAAAAAAAAAATACCTATATATGTATATATATGGCTGAGGGTGTTTTGTTTTTTTTAATGTTTTTTAACATTTGTTTATTTTCGAGAGACAGAGTGAGAGTAAGGGTGGGGCAGAAAGAGAGGAAGACCCAGAATCCAAAGCAGGCTTTAGGCTCCGAGCTGTCAGCACCAAACCTGACACAGGACTCGAACTCACAAACCATGAGATTATGACCTGAGCGAGGGGAGTCCGTTAGCAACCAACTGAGCCACCCAGGCGTCCCATATGGCTGAGGTTTCTTAAATACTTTAAATTCAGTAGAGATGGGGTGGGCTGAAAGAGCAGTGGTATTCAAATTTATCCAAAAAAGAGAAAAATGTTAAACCTTTGAAAGCTGCAAACAATCTTTAATCTTTATTTGAGATCTAAGTGTGATTGGCTTATTAGAATAACTGTAATACTTAAGAGCTGAAGCAAGCCACCCAGTGGTGAGAGTTAATGATTTGTAGTTTTAATTCACAAAAATAGATTTGAGGTTTATGTTTTGAATGTTTAGGTAATAACTCTTTAAAAGTAGGCCGTTTGTAAGAAATGATGGCAGCGGAGTCACTCCTATCCTTGCACTTTTCACAGGGAAGTGAGCCTCTTGAGCCCTCATACATAGTGGGGCATGTGGCCTCAGCACCCAAAGAACAAAACCTGACTACTTTATTCAATGACGGGGAGAACAGTCAGGTATGCTTTCCATGGTGTCCGAATCGAGACACCTAATCCCCAGTCTACTTTGCCATTTAAAAACTAGTCTGAATTGGAATTTGTAGGGGGAAAAAATCCACTCGATCCTGAAAATTGCTTTCTAAACATCTCTGTGATCTTTTAGCTCTGTGACTTTAATTTACTTTGTCTTCTTTATCTTTTTCTAGTCTTTCTGTGACTCATGGGGGGAAATTATGGATCTCTTGTTTACTATGTAATAGTCTCTCCCATTTTGTTTTAAATCAAAGGGTCTTAAAAACGATTTCGTTCGGAACATCTTATGGACATTTGAAGATATACATATGTTAGTTGGCTCCAACATGCCTATATTTGGAGGAGGCAGATACCCAGCAGTCAGCCTACGTCTCAGGTAAACCAAAATGATACTCCTTTAGTGTCTGTGTTTCATCTGCTTTCTCTAAATCTCTTTGGGCATTATCCCCTTTCTCTGGGTTTTTTACCTTCCTCCTGGGCCCCGTGAATTGAGATGGGCACGGTAAGGAAGAGGGGTGCTATCATCAGCAAATGCTGAAAGCCCTGTAGCTGGGTTTTCATTCCAGTCCTTAATGAGCGGAGTCGGAGATCTGTTGCACAGGCTTAGTCTTCTGTCTGAATGTATAACTTGTAAGAATAGGCTATCATTAGTTAAGGGGATAGTTTACCAGCTTCCTACTAACTGATGGTGAACACTTGAGTTAGTACTCCGGAGATATTTTGGCCAGTGTGAATTAGGTGATTGGGTGGTTAGTCTTTCACCTCAGGTTGTATGAGGAGCATGCTGTAGGCTCACAGTCATCTGCTATCGTATTTACTTCTACTCTTAATGAAAACTTGTATGGATTCCTGTTAGAAACTCAAGCGAAGCTTATGGAAAGATGTTAACACGCCACGTGAGCTACATGTGTGTATCTCATCAGAAAAGAAAGCGTATGTGGCATTTTTCATCTGGGGAGAAGTGGTGGAAGTCAGTCTCAGATGGTTTTATTATGGAACATCTCAAACTGAATAATTGGAATTGTGTATTTCTAGGGACAACAACAAGCCGATTAATGTGCTTACTGGAATTGACTATTGGTTGGACAACTTGATCTGCAACGTACCAGAGCTTGTGATGTGTTTCCATGTAAATGGAATTGTACAGGTAAGTAAGATACAGTGTGACTTCTCTAATTTTCTCTCAAATGCAAATGGGTGTGGAGAGTACCTCGCCAAATTTCCTGAGGCCCCTAAATACCAGGCTGTCTTTTCAGCAAGGAAGATGGCTGTAAATAAATGAATGAGCGTTTTCACATTTGAGTGGGTGATAACAGAATTCCAGATATTACAGGAGTATAATTTTACAGGTAATTTGTGGGAAGGTCATCATACGTGGAAACCTACATCTGTAATCATAGATCTCTGATTTTAACGCCAGGCACTCATAGTAGTTAATTACCTAAAAGTGTCTGTACAGTGGAGATATTTGTACACTGAACAGCTATCTACTCCGTATACGTGGAGTTTTAAGGAAAGACTACAGCAATAGTGTGTAAAATCAATTGCTTATATAGCAGATTGTTATGGAGCTGGTGGTATTTATGAGGCACTTTATCCCCATTGCAAATGTTGGGGGAAAACCACTACCCAGAAAGGTAAAATACTAATGGGAAATAGCAGGGTGCAAAGGAAAAGATAGGAGACCATCGATTATGTGTTCGAAGTGCAGTACACACACAGAAGTCTGGGTGATCGGGGAAGGTGAGATCACTTCTGTTTTGGTCTAAAAGAAGGACTTCCTGGAAGAAGTGGCCTCTCAACTGGGTCTTGAATGATAGCGTCTCGGAAAACAAGAGATGAATGTTCTAAAAGACTAATGTAAGGTGTAAGTAAATGAAGGGATTGATGATAAACACAGCTGGGGGACACAGGATTCACGTAGCAGAATGGCAAATAGATTAGAAAAGCTGGGGTCAAATGATGGAGAGTCCCGGATTCTGAGTTAAGAAGTGTGGGCTTGGTTCACTTAATAATCTGGAATCTGTGAAGGCTTTGTGTCTGGGAGGTGAAATTCGTTGTGTTGGAATCATAATTTGGAGAAGGCACGAGAAACGGACACGGAGGACTTGGAGACAAGACTGGGGAGCCTCGCGTTATCGCGAGCACCAGGATGGACTTCTACTACAGAGGGGATACTCAGAAGTGACAGCAAGAATGGCTAGCATTTACTGAGTACTTGTTTTGTTCCAGATACCTTGCTAAATGCTTTACCTGCATTACTCATTTGATCTTAGGTGCTCGAATACCATTATTCCCTCTTGATGAAGAGGGAGACTTGAGGATCAGGGCGCTCAAATGAGTCGCCCAGGGACACATGGCTAGTAAGCGGTGGTGCCAGTATTTGAACCTGTGTCTGGCTGAGGCCATCCTTTTAACCATTGTGCTCCAACCCAGGGGCCTGTTAACACACTTGCTTGGGTCCCTTAGTGTATCGGGATAGGTGGGATCTGTGTATCTGTCAAAGAAAGGAAAAGAAAGGGGGCGCCTGGGTGGCCTAGTCGGTTCAGCGTCCGACTTCGGCTTAGGTCATGATCTCACGGTTTGTGAGTTCGAGCCCTGCCTCAGTCTCTATGCTGACAGCTTGGAGCCTGGAGCCTGCTTCAGATTCTGTGTCTCCCTCTCTCTGCCCCTTCCCCACTCATGCTCTGTCTGTCTGTCTCTCTCTCTCTCTGTCTCTCTCTCTCTCTCTCTCAAAAATGAATAAACGTTAAAAAAAGAAAAAAGAAAGCAAGCTTGTATATGATTCTGATCTGCACCCTCGGTTGGGAAACACTGCACTGTTACCCTAAATGGCAGCCCTTAAGGAGAGGCTGGGGCAGGAGGGGGAGGTGCGTCAGAGGGAATCCCAGAGCCTGGGGACTAGAATAATGGTGGTATCCTTGCCTGAGATGGGACATTGAATTGGTTTAGGTGAGGAGGGGGGTCTCTCTGCGATCGTGTGTTCTGCTTGAGGAAAGCATCGAAATGTCCGTGAGCATTTTGAAGTTGCAGGCTTTAGAGAAGGTGGGGCTAGAAAGAGAATCTGAGCGCCATCTGCTTGGATACTGTTGAACTTCATCACCATGGGAATCTTCACCTCCAGTGTTGGAGCCTTTCCCCATGTGGGTGAAAGGGAAGGGGGCATTCAGAGGGAACGAGATCCCCAGTAGCACGGTGTACAATCCAGGAGAAGAGCATCTTAAGGAAGGAAATTACAACTTGGGGCTTTAGGTGAACGAGAGGGATGAAAACCAACCTTGGGAGACTGTTGGTCTTATTTTCCAATTGCTTTGGAGTTTCTTAAAGTGTGGTAAGAGGCATTTAGGGAAGTGTGAACAGAAGAGAAGCTAGAAAAATGGAGATCCTTTAAAAGTCATGGTAGTCGTGTCCACGCAGCCTGTGCTCTCACTGCTGCCTCCCAGCCCCGTCTCCCTGTCTGCAAAGGGGTAGAGTCTGTAGCCTCAGGGAAGAGGACGGTCTACCGAGGAGACTTTCCAGGTGAGTCTAGTGTCTGGGGGGGGGGGGGGGGGGAAGAGCTTGCTGGGTGAAGTCCGCCTTGTCTGCCACCCTCCCAGGTGAAAACCACTAGGTGGAGTAGAAGAAAGGGTGTGCTATGAGCTGCTGCACGTGAGGACCGGAATAGGATCACACCTAAATCTGTGGTTCTAAATCGGTGGTGATTCTCGCTTGAGACTCACTCCTGTGGCAACCGACGGCATTGCCGACAGGTGGGTCCCATTTCCTTCAGAATGCTGGAGCCGTAAAAAGATTGAGAACCAGCGGTTGAAATTCTTCCAGGCTGCAGAGATCTCTGACTGCAGGATCTATGTATTTGGTTCCTTTTTAGTAAGAGAAGTGTTGCCGTCTAGGTGTTTTTCTGAAAATGTATTCTGTGTTTTGCAGAAATATGAAATGATAAAAACAGAAGAGATTCCCAATTTGGAAAACTCGAACTTCTCTACGAAGGTCATAAAAGACATTGCACAGAATATTTTATCGTTTCTGAAATCTAATTGTACCAAAGAAGGACATACCTATTGGCTGTTTAAAGGTAAACGAATTCTTGAATGACCAATAATGATTGAGTGACTCCAGTAAACTGAGGTTTGTTTTCCTTTTCAGCAAGTGGGAGTGATATAGTGAAGCTCTATGATCTCACTACTCTTTGTGAAGAAACCGAAGACAAGTACCAAAATCCGTTCACAATGCCGGTGGCTATTCTCTTATATAAGTGAGTGCTTGGAGAAGTAAACTTAATTGAATTTTAAGGTGTATGGCCACACTATCTAGGTTAAATCTTTTAAATACCCTTTCGGTTTTTGTGGCTTAAGAGACGAAGTGTGTATATATGTATACAGACTCTGTCAGTGTCCACTTGTAGGGGATGAATGCCATATTCAAAAGATACGGTAATGGTTTCTGGTATTTCTCATACTATTAGAAGGTAGGAGGAGCATGCTTATACTTGAGTCTTGCAGAGAATGAGGAATGGGTGTGAAATGATACAAATATTTTTCTAGGGTTGCTTGCAACATGATGATGAAGAAGAATCAAAATAAGAAACACTACGGAACTATTAGAACATTGCTTCTTAATTGTGTTAAGTTGTTGGACAAAAGCAGACATCCTCAAGTAAGATTAACATTTACGTGTTCTTTGAAAACAGTCTAGCATTCTGATAGAGAATTGTTGCCTACACATTAAAGCTGCTCAACGCATAGTCTGAACTGCCCCATTACGGCAGCCAGTAACCACATGTGGCTGCTGAGCACTGAAAATGTGCTTCATCTGAGTTGGGATGTGTTTTAAGTGTAAAATACACATTGAATTCCGCATGTTGTGTGTACACGTTGCATGTTGAAATGATCATGTTTTGTGCAGTGGAACAAATACATTAAAATTAATTTCCCCAGATTTGATTTTTTATAATTTAGGCACTAGAAATTTAAAACTTCCTATGTGGCTGGCTTCCATTACATTTCTCTTGGATAGCCCTGTTCTCTAAATTTAGGACTCCCGTAATTTTCACCGAGTAGTGCTGTTTTTTCCTTTTGTCTTACCACGTCTAGAAGGTAGAGAAACTATTTTACGGTATTTACAGTATCTTTTAAAAGATCCATTTACACGCGTGGACCTTGTTATCACTTTGTTGTGTAAATTAGGTTCACACTCCATACTTCAATGTACAAAGCCTCTCTCAAAACAATCCTTGAGCCGTGTGCCCCACGATTTCCCATTCTCCTTACCCTCCGGTGTCTGAATCTGACAGCGGCTTTGTGGTTACTGCTAGTTGTATCCCATTTACGTTAGAAAAAGTTGTGTCACGTGCACTTTTTTTAAAGGCCCAAGTTAATTTTAATTGTCGCCACATCCGGTTTGACTATAAAAGTTTACCCTAGAGATTAAACCAAGAGAACTTTTTTTTTGAAGAAAAGTGGCAAAATAATTTCTGAACTAAATATTTAGTTGATGGAGGTGGTGATATTTTGTGGAAATTGGATAGTTTATGTGAAAGTTGGAAACTGGTGTTAAAATTATTGAATGTGATCAAGAATTAATAACAAATAATAGAGTGGAATAATAATGGTAATACATAAACACTAATTTTACAAGATGCCCGGATGGACTTTTCCTTCATTAAGCTAGTGGAGGTTTTTTTCCCCTAGAACCAAGGATCCTGTAACATGTATTAGTTGCTTATTAAAACCCTTATTAATTCATAGCTTATAAAGAGAAATTCTGGTTTCTCAGTTAATATGGAGTGTTCTCTTGCTAATACTTCAGTTAAAACACTACACACGTTGGGGCGCCTGGGTGGCGCAGTCGGTTAAGCGTCCGACTTCAGCCAGGTCACGATCTCGCGGTCCGTGAGTTCGAGCCCCGCGTCGGGCTCTGGGCTGATGGCTCGGAGCCTGGAGCCTGTTTCCGATTCTGTGTCTCCCTCTCTCTCTGCCCCTCCGCCGTTCATGCTCTGTCTCTCTCTGTCCCAAAAATAAATAAAAAACGTTGAAAAAAAAAAAAAAAAAATTTAAAAAAAAAAATAAAAAAAAAAAAAACACTACACACGTGAAAACTTTTGTCACCAGTTGCCCCCTTTTTTAAGAGGTGGGCTGGGGATAGAATAATTTCGGGAAATAAACATACCAACCCAGGAAGATTTTTATGGCAGACCTTTGACTTGGGACCAGTTCTTTCTGAGTGTAACGGTCTGGTGGAAAAAGCCTGTTGCAGACCTCCAGAAATCTATTAGTACAGTAGTAACATTCATTCTGCTTTAGAATGCTCGGTTCTGATGACAATCACACACATTTCCTTTTGTTTTTTTTTCTTTTTGTAAGATTATTGCTTCAGCCAATTACATGCTTTCAGAACTTTTTCAATTAGATGAACCTAAAAAAGAAGAAAGTTCAGAATCTCCTTTAAATGAAAATTCTGATGAAAGTTACAGTGAAGAGGAGGAAGAGCTGGCAGACAGCGATGAAAATGGATCCTATGGCACCGGTTCTGATCCATCAGATGATAACAAAGCAGTAGCTATCATTAAGTCTGTTGGAGAATTGTCAGTTCCGGAGAAATACAAATCCATTCATCAAATCCGAGTAAGCGTTTTTGTTAAAGTTTTACCAGTGGTTAATTGAATACAGCTAGCCTCTCAAAAGAAGGCATTACTTCGGGAGATCCTTTATGGTCCAGGGTCAAATTTGTAATTGCCCCAGGGTAACTGATCCAACATGCAGACCGATGGCGGGCAACGTGCAAATCGCACATCAGTATACTAATTTTTACGTAGGAGACTTTCCTTTGCAGTGACCAGCAGGTAGTCATGTCTCCTCACTAGGGTCTTCCTTCTCCGTTTCTGGGTTGCTGGGAAACTGCATATATTGCTTGGTGAACGTAGAATAAGTAGACAGGAGGTGGCTCATTGGTCCATTTGCGAGGAACCCGGTATCTTATCCCAGGGCTACAGGACAGGACTTTTTCAGTGACTGGACCATGTCAGCTCGATTGAACGTATCTCTGTCCTGGTCAAGGTCTGGTAGACTCAGTGACTGGGCCATGTCAACTAGGTTGGACATACCTCTGTCCTGGTCAAGGTCTGGTAGACTCAGTGATTGGGCCATGTCAACTAGGTTGGGCATATCTCTGTCCTGGTCAAGGTCAGATAGACCCTAACAACTTCCCATCCTTCGATTTCTGGTGATGTGGATTGCATTGACTATTCTACCGTCAGTCTTTCTCCAGACATTAGAATGAAGTTTCTGTTTTCTGAATCGTAACTACCTTCCAGTCCACCCTGTGATCAGATCCAAGTCAGCCTTAAAAGACACTGGCTATTCGCTGAACTGAGATATGGTCCTATTTATAGATCATCTCTTAATGTAAGCTCAGAGTTTAAACTTCCAGGTGGAAACGTTATATCCGGGGAAGCTTTTAGAGGACCTCGCTGTCTCCATAAAACATTGCCTAGCTTTTTGACTTCCTGCACTCTCCCTCTCCTTTACCTTCCCCTCACTGCCTTTTTTCCTGCCTCAAGCTCGTCAGGATCATGCCCAGTGGAGGCATCTGCCGTTGCTTGTGCTCAGCACGTCCCGGAAGTTTGCGTGGTTGCCTTTTTCTAAGCCTTAAATCCTGATGAAAGTGTCGCTCCTTTCAGAGACCTGGACCACTGTAGCTAAAACCATGTTGTATTTTTCTGTCCTTCTTGGAGGTAGTGATCTGTCCCTGAGGTTTGTGTTTGTTTCCTTTCACTAAAACAGAAGCTCCCTGTAGGTATGGACATTCTTGTGTCTCGAGCACATAATAGGTGCTCCGTAAATACTTGATTAAATGACTGTGGGAAAAGTTACTGTCCATCCGAGTTTTCATGCACTTTCAGCTTGAACTCCACAGTAGAATTGAAAAAACTGTTTTCTCTGATTATGAACAGAACTTCTGCAATCAATAATTTTATGTATTTGGGGAACTGCGTTGTAAAGACCCTGGATTTATAGGTCTTTTAATTAAAAGATTTTAAGTAGATGATAATTAAAGACGTAGTGATACGTTAGTTGACTTTTTTTTTTTTATACATAGACCGTGATTTTTATTGCTATCCGAGGCACTCAAAAATACAGTCATGGTATTCCTGTAAACGTGTCTCTAGTGAGCCTTGCCTTATAAAACGTACTGTTTGAAGTACAGTCAGCATGGCTTCCACGCCTCCGTTTCAGCCTCCTGTGTCTGTGGACAGATTACTTCACATCTGTGCTCGCTGTAAAATGAGAACAGTGATTCCAGCGTTGCAGGAGTCCCCAAAAGTGACCTGCCTCGCAGAGGCCCCTACACGTACTATCACTTAGTAGATGTAGGTCATTAACTGGTTCTGCTCCTACTTAAGCACATGAATTATACGCCGAGACCACTGGCGATCCTCGTTAACTTACTGCCAATTGGGGTACTGTTAACTGCGTGTTGCCAAGTAGCCGTGCTGACCAGGGGCCACATTGCCCTCTGAGATGGGGTACGCGTTTACCTAAAACATTACGTTCTTGCTGTGTCGTAACAGAATTATGTTTAAAACTTTAAGAATTGAAAGTCACATACACTTGGGAAGATCTTTTCATCAGGCAAGATTTTGGTTGATGCTTGTATCAATTTAATGTGCAGTTAAGGCGGCACGTTACCTCACGAAGCTGAATGCGTAAGCAAATGTTGAAGTTATTGACGTGTGGAGTTTTAGTAATTCCCAGGAGCCGAGAGCTGTGGAATTTGTCATGGGGGCGGCCTACTAATCACTTGAAACGTCTGTTTCTGAAGCCCAGTTGCACCTTTCCGGTTTGCCATGACACCGAGGAGCGCTGTAGACTTGTGCTCAGCTATGTTCTGGAGGTAGGCCTTCGTTTGGTCTTCACTGTTTCGGTGAACTTGCACTTGGTATGCACATAGCACTTGTTTGTTGGTGACTGAAGTCTATTTTCAGAGTGTACATTTTCCTACATGTGTTCAGTGCCTTGTATCTCGTTTATAGTTGACCTTTCATTATGTGTGTGATAACTGTTTCTCCTTGCTTAAAGGGGCTAAAATCTGTGGATAGCAGCATTAAAAAAGAAAGCGACCTTCCTGCAGCTGACCCCAACACCCCGATCCCATTAAAATATGAAGATGAGTCCACAAGGGGGGGTCCTGAGGGTCTGGAGAAGCAGATGGCCTTGTTTTTGGACAAAAGTAAGTTGGATTGATGTGCAAATAAGGACTCTTCTATAGAATGGTGTACTAGTCCTTCATCAGTGGCAGACTTCTGTCAATTAAGGCATTCATTGGAAGGAATTCAGGAAAAGGATGCCGTGTGAATGGAAAGTAGGGGGAAATACCGTTTCATTCAAAGTATAAAACAGAGGATAATTTTGATCCTTTATAGCTACTCCTAATAGGTTCTGCTCCTTCCCCCTGCAGCAAAGAGCTGATGCCTTCGGCCCAGTAGGGTTCTCCTAAGAAATGACTTCAGTTAAAGCAGCTGAGTGTTGAAGAGCAGACTTAGGAACCAAACTGCCTCGCTTCAAATCTTGGCTTTGCTAGGGCAAGTTCCACTTCTTTGAGCCTTGTTTTCTCTCCAACTGGAGACAATGGTGCCTGTTTTAGAGGGTTTTATATGGATCAAATGAATTAATACATGTCAAGTGCTTAGAGCCGCGGCACATGTAAGCCCCATAGAGTTGTTGGCTGTTGTTACCCCGTGGTTCTTGAATAAACCAGAAAGGGCACTTATACGTTGTCTGGTTGGTTCCTCAGGGAAGTCACTTCATGAAGAGCATGTGGACTTTTTAAAAGTCTGTTTTGTTTAAAAAATGTTTTGGAAGCCTGTGTGTATGAAATACCAAATGCTTTCCTGACTTTTCTTCTCTTCACAAACATAAGTTGTAGGTAGGGAAGTAAATTTATTTCCCTAGCGTTTATGTAGTGCTTGCTGTGTGCCAGGCTTGAGCCCCTCTGCAGTGAGAACACCAGGACTTGAGACATCGCTGCCTTTTTTATGGCATTTTTTTTTTTTTTTTTTGAAATGCCTTTTCTTCCTTCCTTTCTCCCCAACTCGGCTGTTGAAAATCCCATTGATGTATGTTCAAGATCTTTACGCTCCCGTCTCTAGTCAGAATTGATTCTCTTAACCACTTTATCCTTGAGCACTTAATTTTGTCTTCTGCTATAGTTAGTTGTGCCGAATGGTTTTCTGCGCGCACACCAATATGGTTGTGAGCAAAAATTGTGTCGTCTTCATCTCTGGTGTTCTCACAATACCTCAGATGCAGAAAGTTCATGCAGTAGCAGAGAGAAAAGAAATCCATGCATTAAAAAAAACCATAATAGAGATTGTGCCTTCATTGCTTTGAAAGACTTGTGTCGTTGCTGATCGAAAAAAGAGAAATCTTGAGGCTGAGAGACTGGGGAGGGAGGGTTCCTGCAGCCATTTTGTTTTCATCTCTGTACTTGCACTTAATCGATTTCGCTGTGGTTTATGTTAGCAGCCCGTCTGCACCTCTACTCTGGGAGATCTTCAAGGAAGGAGGCCATACAACAGCATGTCACTGTTGCTGGTGCCTAGGACAGTGCTTGGCACAAAAAATGACCATTTGTTAGATGAAGAAGATAGTAATAGGCTGGACTTTAAGTAAAGAGTGTTCCTGGGAGAGGAAATAGTCCACTGCGGGGGGTGGGGGGGGTGTGTGGAAAAAATAGGCCTCTGTGTAGGCAACAAGCAGTAACTTGACTTTGGCCGATGGGTAGTAGGGGTGGAATACTGCGGAGGAAGACAAAAACGTCCTGTAGGAAGTGGGGCTAAGGTGCATAGACAGGATTTAGTAAGTGGTGAGAAACCATTTCAGTGTTCTAGAACAGGGGTTCCACCGCAATTAAAGTTTGTTTTAGAAGGGTAAACTTTCTGGCCGGTTGGCATGTAGACTGGAGAAAGGACAGGCCAGTCATGAGTTTAGTTACATGTGACCCTGAAAGAGAATGACAGAGTTAACGGCTGCAGGGAGCAGAAATCCCAATGAGGGTCCATTGAAACACTGCCATTATTCTCTATTGTTAAGTAGTAAAGCACAGTATTTACCGGTCTTGTTGCAGTTATGGTACCTAAGCCTGGACCGTTTCTGTCAAGAAACAAATTATTTTTTTATGGTGAGACTTAGGTTCAAATAAAACGTGCTGCCTTCTCTCCCCCTCTCCTGTCATAGTGGGCTCCCTTCAGAAGGGTAATTATTCCAGTCAATCTGGAATGATCCCTGGTTCTTGGCAACATAAAATGAAACTCCAGCTGATTCTCAAGTCATCAAAGGCCTATTATGTTTTGTCTGATGCTGCCATGAGTCTTCAGAAATACGGAAGAGCGTTACGATACATTAAATTAGCTTTGCAGAGCCACGGTAAGTCGCTGTAAATTAATATGTTTAATAGGCATTGGGAGGGAGAACAGAAAAGGCATTTGAATCACAATGGAATTTCACTCCTGTTTCTGTTGTAAAACTTAATTTTGAAATAACTTTCTGTTCTTGAGTCTGTTACTCAGGATTTTATTTTCTGCTCTGAGTGGTTAATTGTCCCTTCCTTTTGACACCCAGGAAGCCATATGTAACGTAAGAAACTTGGGTACAGTGGTACAAAGCTTTCAGCTAGTAACAGATTTTCTTAATATTCATCATACCAATTTTTCACGCACCAGTGTCTTTTCTCTTTCCCGTCCTTTCTGCCTAGATACTTACTGCTGCCTCTGCACCAATATGCTTTCTGAAGTGCTGCTGTTTCTTTCTCAATATTTGACGCTCTGCGGTGATATCCAACTAATGCTGGCCCAGAACGCAAACAACAGAGCCGCACATCTTGAGGAGTTTAATTATCAAACAAAAGAAGACCAGGAGATCCTGCACAGCCTCCACAGGGAGTCCCCGTGTCAAGGTGCGCCGGCCAGGCCTGTGACGCGCACCGGGCTCTTTCTTGGGTCCAGCATAGGTGACCGGGGTGTGTCTGGAGAAGTGGCGGAAATGTTAGCGTTTCAGTATTGCAGTTCTGTCGTTCTGCTTTCTTAACTTTAAAATCGAGTGTGATTCCGTGTGTATTTGTGCGTAAAGTGGTTTCGAAATCGTTCTAGTTGTAAAATTAGAAATTCTCAAATAATGATAAAATAAGCTCTAAGACAGTTGTGTTGACCTTTTACTCCTCTTTCCGTCCAGGTTTTTCTAGGTGACCTTGCAGTCCACTAACCAAGCCATGATTTTCTTTTGAAAAGGAATTAACAGTTGGTAAAAGTGAATGAATTACCTTCTGAATGATTTCCAGGGGCTCAGATACAGAGATCATTTTTTTTTTTTTTTTAATTTTTTTTTCAACGTTTATTTATTTTTGGGACAGAGAGAGACAGAGCGTGAACAGGGGAGGGGCAGAGAGAGAGAGGGAGACACAGAATCGGAAACAGGCTCCAGGCTCCGAGCCATCAGCCCAGAGCCCGACGCGGGGCTCGAACCCACGGACCGCGAGATCGTGACCTGGCTGAAGTCGGACGCTTAACCGACTGCGCCACCCAGGCGCCCCAGAGATCATTTTTTAAACTCCGTTCATAGCTGACTATCTTAGTGAATATATATATATATTTCTTTGTTCTGGAGTTGTCAGATATTAAAACTCTGAAATCGGAGTATTATTCCTAGCGGCTGTATCCCTGCCTCTTTCGGTACAGTCGTCAGCACACTGCAGTTAGGGCAGTCAGTGAGCCAAGAGATCAGTCCTTCTACTTACCATGGAATTGTCGTCTTTTGCTCCTGAAATGTTTACTTGATGTCCACCTCCCAAAAACTTTTGGACACGTAGTATCTAGAGAAGTACATTGGGGAGAAATGTAGTATTTCTTCATTTTTTTGCCCTCTCTCTTCCCCTTCTTTCCTTCTGAGTTTCTCAAATGATCATTTTATTTTCATAGACACAGTGAGAAAACCTTCAGTGTGTTTTTACCACTCCCATCAAATTAATTTCATTGAAAACACTTGTTTGTGAGCGTGGCATTCTCTCATGTTCCAGTGTTAACGGCAGTAGCACTCCCTTTTCCCCTCTTGAATTTTGAGCCCTGCACTCAAGTTTACTCCATTCCCACTCCATAGCAGGTTTAAGTCTTTGAGCTTAAGTCTTTGAGCTGGTAGTTTCTTCAATGAGTTAAACTTACATCGCAAGCCATCATGTACTTAAATAGCATCTGGTAGCAATCAGAGCTTTATTTCAAGAACTATTTCCATTGATTAAAAAGAAAAAAAAAAAGATTTATTCTGTATCTACAAACAATTTTAGGCTTGTACCAGTAAGCAGGTGTACTTGGTAAAATCCAGGTCTTGGGAAGTTTTTGGTATTTTTAGGAAAATATTTCTTTATTCAAACATTAATATCCCAGGAAAATATGGTTTTTTAAATGAAGGATCTTTACTTTGAAACTTAAAATTTTAGTTGCATTGATTGAATCTTAGGTTTATACAGTATTAAATTTATTTTGTGGTCTTAAAAATGTGAGATTATGTAGATACTAAGGAAGAAGGGTTCATGTGACTCACGGTGATTTTTTTTTTTTTTTTTTTTAAGGATTTGCATGGGCAACTGATTTGTCTACAGACTTAGAGAGTCAGCTTTCAGTTAGTTGTAAGTGTTACGAAGCTGCTAATGAAATCTTGCAATTTAGTGACTTAAAAAGCCAAAACCCAGAACACTATGTACAAGTATTGAAGAGAATGGGTAATATCAGAAATGAAATCGGTGTGTTTTACATGAATCAGGCAGCTGCACTGCAGAGTGAGAGAGTAGGTGAGTATCTCCTTGGAGTCCTCTCTTTATTGCCTATTCTGGTAGAAAATCATGCTGGTTTTGTGGTTTGGGCAAAGAATTGTGGCATTTGATTTTATGTATAAAGGGGTGCTCTCTTAAAGAATCTTTTATTCTTAAGTTCTCGAGAAATAAACAAAAAGCCATTGCCCTTTGAGAGTCCTCATTTCCATGTCCTCCATTCTGCATCTGATCCGTTCAAAAGTGAAGCACACAGCCAGCGATGCTAGGCTCTCTGCTGGGTATGTAACTGAAACCTAGTTTCTCTTCCGTGTCAGGAAGCCAGATAGAAATGTAAATCTTTGGAAAATGCCATGAGCACAAGTACAGTCCAGAAGAGTGGGGACAGAGGTTCATTGAAGATGTGAGGTTCTTGGAGGGCTTTTGGGGAGAAGGTGTGGTTCGAGCAGGTTGGTACGTGATACACAGGATGTCGGCAGGCAGATATGGGAAAGGGGGTGCTGTCCACACAGAGTAGGCAGCCTAGAGAAGGAGCCAGAGGTGGCACGGTCCAGTGGGTGGCGAGAGTTAGTAATGCAGGGGCCTTGTGTGATTCAGGCACAGGATAGTGGATTCAGCTGGGCCCATATCGCGTTTGAGATACCAGCGGACATGTGAGCAGAAGGTCTCGCTCAGTTGTTGGTTAGAAACTGGACTTAGAGCTATTTGGGATAGCAAGACGCAGGTTGGGGAATCGCTCAGATGGAAGGTGGGGGATAGTTGGAGCCATGAGAATGATGGAAATGTAAAGACTGGACCCGGTGTGAGGAGGCAAAGAGCTGAGAGGAATGAGGACAGCAGGTAATCCGAGAGCGAGAGAGAGTGTGAGTGTGTGTGTGCGCATGCGTGCGGTGGTCTGTGGACTGTGCTTGGCACTAGAGATACAAAGGTTCATGCTTTTTACAGTGTTGCCGTATTGGGAGGTTTGGGTGGCTCAGTTGGTTAAGCGTCCAACTCTTGATTTCAGCTCAGGTCATGATCTCATGGTTCATGAGTTCAAGCCCTGTGTCGCTGTTGGTGCCGAGTCTGTTTGGGATTCCTCCCCCCCCACCACTCCCTCCCCCCGACTTGCACTTGTAAAAATAACTTTAAAATTTTAAAAGGAAAATGTTATCATATGTATATATTTTAATGTTTATTTTGAGAGAGAGCTAGCAGGGGGAGGGGCAGAGAGAGAGGGAAAGAGAATCCCAAGCAGGCTCCCGGCTGTCCGTGCGGAGCTGACACAGGGCTTATCCCAGGAGCCGTAAGATCATGACCTGAGCCGAAATCAGCCGTCTTAACTGATCGAGCCACCCAGGAACCCACATGCGTATTTTTGATTGAGAAGTAAGAACCTGTGCTTTTAAGGTGCGTTTGGAGGAGGAAGTTGGTGGTGAAGGAGCATCAAAGCGATAGAAACCTAGGAGGGTTGGATACAACACACATTACGCCTCTCATAACTCCATGGGACCGTGTGTTTTGAATCTTCATAACATCGTGCTTTGTCAGATCATTTTATTGGCTTGTTTTATTAAGAGTGAAGAAGGGCCACGTTTTCATATTGTGTTAGTCTGCTCAGGCTGCCATAACAAAATAGCATAGATCGGGTGGCTTAAACAACAAAAATTGTATTTCTCGCAAGCTGGAAGCTGGAAGTTCATTATCAAGGTGCCAGCAAGGTTGGGTTTTTCTGAGGCTCCTCTCTGTGGCCTGCAGATGGCCACCTTTTAGCCATGTCTCTCTGTGCAAGCCCTGGTGTCTGTCTCTCCTCGAAAACCACCAGTCATGTTGAATTAGGGCCCATCCTATCCTCCTCGAGCTGTAGTTGCCTCTTTAAAGGCCCCGCCTCCCAATACAGCCACACTGGGGGGTAGGGCCTCACCGTGAATTTGAGGCGAGTGAGGACGACGATAGCAGCTCAGCCGCTCGCTGTGGTGACTCCACTTGGCTGCTTCCTTAGCCGTCCTGTCCCTGCCCTCCTCCCCTCGTCCTTCCCTGGGACACATGGGGTTTACACTGATGTCCGCTTACGTGTGGTTTTTTTCTCTTTTGTGTGAAGTGAGCAAGAGTGTGTCTACTGCGGAGCAGCAGCTGTGGAAAAAAAGCTTTTCTTGTTTTGAAAAAGGAATTCACAACTTCGAGTCAATCGATGATGCTACAAACGCTGCCCTTTTGTTGTGCAACACGGGGAGACTCATGCGAATTTGTGCGCAGGCGCACTGCGGTGCCGGTGATGAATTTAAGCGGGAGTTTTCACCGGAAGAAGGCTTGTATTATAATAAGGTAACACACCCGCTTCCATGTCGGACGTCGTCCACTTCCACCGAATCGGCCCTCGGCTTTGCCGTGGCTCCAGGGAAAGACCATACGTCTAACGAGAGCTGTGGCGATGGTGTGTGACGAGACGGTCACGACGCTTAGAAACCGACCCTAGGATGGGGAGAATTTAGTATAGAAGCTGGCGTGTTGAAAAGACGATCGGTGGGTTGTGTTGGCATAACCAGAGAAGACATCAGGTGGCAGGCGGGGTAAAGGCTGACACGAAGGGAAACTGGGAAAGTGCCAGGAGAAGATGAAGGAAGAGCCTTCGTGAGGAGACGGGACGGGACTTGCCTCGCACGACACAATAAGCAGGAAACAGAGTAAACGATGGACACGTGTAAACGTGTAAAAAGAACGGTTTTTAAATGTATAACAGAAAGCAGAATTGAAAAGCACACCACAGTCTCGTGAAAACATTTGTAACCTATGACGGATCACAGGTTAATAAATCCTTCATATATAGGGAAGAGTTAAGAACCGTTGAAAATAGGGGCGCCTGACTGGCTAAGTCGGTAAAGCACACTACTCTTGATGTTGGGGCTGTGAGTTTGAGCCCCACACTGGGCATGGTACTTACCTCAAAAATAAGATAATCATTGAGAATAAACTGCCCCAATAGAAAAAAAGGCAAATAATCTTGAACAAAAAATGGGTGCACGTTAAAAAAAAAAAAAAATGGTTAAGATTTAAGAAATTTCAAATTTTACATTTTTATGAAATTTAAAAATTGAGTTTCTTTTGTCTGTCAAATTACCTGCAGCGTAGGAGAGGGGGAAGGAACAGGCGTGCTCCCTTAACAAGTACTTCAGAGCTCTCAGAGCATGCTAGTGAAGCATGGTCACGGCATGCGAGGTTGTAAAGGGAAAGTGACTGTATTTCAGGGTTTTTTTTCCCACTTTACAGATACACAGAGAGTAGATAGTTACAAGACATGTAGAGATTATTGCCGGGCGGTGGAATTAAATGTGATTTTATTTGCTTAAATGTAATGAGCATGCCTTTCAGGCAGGGGGCGTGGGGGGTTGCTTTTTTATAGTCAGGTAGCAGCGATTTTTTATCCTTAGACTCTTCTAGTTATTTTTTCTCGTTTACTAGTTATACAAACAAATTTTCATTTAAGAAGGAGAAAAACCAGGGGCACCTGGGTGGCTTAGCCGGTTGAGCGTCCGACTTCAGCTCAGGTCATAATCTCTTGGTTTGGGAGTTTGAGCCCCGTCGGGCCCTGTGCTGACACCTCAGAGCC